AAGGGGGAGAACAAGACTGAGACAGACTGAGACTGAGACCAGAGAGAGAGAACAGAGTGGGATCCGAAGAACAAATTTTCAGAGGCTATATTGACTAAAGTCGTGCCATTTCTCTTTGGGTGCTTCATGAAGTCAGAATTTTGCACACTAGTGTAAAGAGAAGTTTTAGAAAGTTAAGAAGAGTGTGACATGACTTTTGGCTCAGTAAAGGAGGTGGGCCCTGCATTCAGAGTGAGGGATGCCTCAACCTGCCTTCTTTACATCCTGTGAAAAGAGGGCACTGCCAGCTTCCTGAGGGCAGTAGGAAGACTGTCTTGCCATAAGTGCCTTGTGCTGAGAATTGGTGTAAAGACGATGGTAGTAAAAATCATTTTAGTCTAAGGGTTTAGAGTGAAGAGTGGCATCATGCATTTCATTACTTTCATATAGTACTTTGGACTTTAAATATTTATGAAGTAAAGTTATAAATTGTGAGGATTTTTTTTCCCATGTAGGGAATAAGAAGGACTTTATAAGAATCTTGCTTTGAAGAAATCTCTAATTAATGAATGACTGGGACCACGAAACCTAAAAGTAAGAGTAAATTTTCTCTTTTTCTTATTTTATTTTTTGTGACCAAACCATGCTTTAAAATTCTGAATTGCTTCAGTATATTGCTGCTTTCATTGACAGTGGTCATAACAAATTAATATGGGTAGGTAGGTGACAGGCACATAGAGACTATAGATGAATAGGAACTGTAGATCGATCTCCTACTCTAGTCTTCTGCCTCATCATTTTCTTGCTTTCCTTACATTTGATCCCTTCGGTGTAACTCTTCTGTCACTTTCCTGTTCCTATTATCTTAAAGGGGTCCCCAACCAATTGCATTGGTCTCAATTCACCTCCCCGTGGCCTCTCTCTGCTTCCTCCAATCTGCCTTGAACACATCTGCCATAGTGTTCTCCTGAAAACACAGTAATTATCTCACTCATAAATAAACAAATTTATAGATTAAAATGACTCCATTTTCAGATCCCAAACTCCTAATCCTGGCACTGCAACGACATGCAAACTGACTTGGAATCTGCGCACTATAAAGCAATTACCTCCCTGCCAACATTCCTTCATTTCCATGCAAACAGAAGTACTGATGAAGGTTTCCCAGCTTTCACTTTAACTTCTCATTGTTTTGCTTTCACTTGTTTTAACTTTTGGTATAAACTGGCCTGTGCTAATTTTCCAGATTTCATGGTAATATCTCCTACAGGCCAGGCCACCTCTGGAAAGCCTGTTCTCATCTTCTTATGTAGAATTAAGTGACTCTGGGGGTGGATAGTATGAGCAGTTCTTTATTATATGTATTTATATTTAATGCTTTTTCTTACATACTTGATTGCAGTTCCTTTGAAGATAGTTCCCATGTGATTTTTTTTCTAGTACTTTATGACAAGAGTTTAAGACTGTTTACTGAGTTGAGTTCTTCAACAAAAACGTATTGAAGAGGCATCTGATGATGTGTTCCCTAAGAGCTACTACACATGTGCTCCCTGGGACCCCTACCCTTCCCAAAAAGGGAAAACTGGAAGCCAGAACATTCCCCAGGATCTGGACAGCCTCTGATCCAACTCTGTTCCAAATTATTTTGATGGCTGTTCTCTTGGCTCCTGTTGTTGGTGAGTAATGGGGAGAGAGTTGGGTTGACGTCTCATGATGGCTCATCCTGCCCCTTTCTTTAAGGGATGCCTAACAAGTATCCATCTTTCACATTTTGGGTACATTTGACACCAGGAATTTAAGGAAATTTGGTATGAGCCTTCAACAAGGCTGTTTTATAGATACGCTTAATACTGTCTTTCAGAATTTCCTCTCAAGGCACCTGCAAATGATCTAACTGCAAAGAAATCATGCCTTGAAATAAACATATTATCTGTCAACGTGACCATGAAAAATGATCATTGTTGATGGGTCACTATATAGGGCAGGGGTAGATAATTCTGCTGGGGCCTCTGGAAGGAAAGCTAAATTTTATTTCTTGGTAGAAAAATAGATTTAAGTTTATAAAATAAGATAGATTTATTTTCTAAGGGCTTAATGTAGTCTTCATATTGTGATGCTTTCAAAAAACATTTTCATGTTTGAATAGGCAATCTACTTGAAATGCAAAAATAATCCCAAAGAACATAATTGAGATGGTTCTTTCTTTTCTCAACTTTTAGATATAACTAATCTTATGTTAGGCTGTGACTAATAAAAGGTATGTCTTTACCAAGGCAAGAGGTAGTGAAAAACAGCATGGCATAGGGCATAGATGATTGCATTGTAAGTGGGCAGACAGTTGTGAGCAGTCTGAGAGAACAATGAAATTTATTCCCTATTCAAGGAAGGATGGATGAAATTGTCTTTGCCTTTTAAGATTATTATTATTATCATCATTATTATTATTACTACTATCATTATTACTATTATTAACCAAAAAGCATACATTACTGTGTTCATTAAACTTTGGGAACAAAGGAAGGGTGATAAGAGAAACACGGTTATTGCTCTAAAAATCTAACTGCTCAAGTGTGTCGAGATGCTGTGTTTGGAGAGTAACTCAGGTGTTGTCCTTTTTGTGTCCAGGTGACTGTGGTCCTCCACCCATTTTGCCATTTGCTTCTCCAGTCATGCAGTCTTATGAGACAAACTTCAGAACTGGAACTGCCCTGAAGTACAATTGCCACCGCGGCTACTGGAGAGTCAATTCAAGTCATGTTATTTGTGATATTAATGGATCATGGATCTACAGTGTCTTTTGCGCCAGTAATTCTCAATGTTCTCTTCTTCTGTGCTTTACTTTCCTCAGAAAAGTGTCATGGGAACTTAGCAAATTTCGTAACTCACAGGGAAATCTTTGAGCGAATGGTCTTATAAATCCATGTCACCTATAACATTTAGAAAAAAATAAAATAGGAGTACAACATGAAATATTTTTCCAATACAAGAGCGATAGAATCTATTTCCTTTTTGTCTATTTTTTTGTGACTGAAGGTATAGATTTGTGGGGACATAAACTTATGTGAATACCTGGTCGGTCCATACACCATATCATTTATCATCACAGTGGTTTAATCAAACAAATGAAATTAGATAGATTTTTATCTTTTAAAAACATGTCAGAAAATGGATTATGCTTTTTATTTTTCCTTATACTAAAAATTAAATGAGTCAAGATCAGAAATAGAAACTGAAAAATATCTGAGGACTTATATAAAAAACAATTAACCATACTTTTTTTTTCTTTCTAATCTTGTGAGTATTGGTAGCCACTAATCATCAGTTCAATTTTCCCTCAGAAAAGCGTTGCAGACACCCAGGAGAGTTAGTCAATGGGAAAGTAGAAATTATAACTGATCTGCTCTTTGGGTCATCCATAGAATTCAGCTGCTCAAAAGGGTAAGTACAATGAAAACTAGAAGATTGTTTATGTAGTCAATTTTTATATGGAGTTAGTGCTTTTGTATGTTTCAAGAGCAAAGTTGTAACCAGGCATGGTGACTTTCATGAAGGTTAGAGCAAAGGCCTTGGGTTCAATCCTAAGTACTGGAAAAAAAGGCAATAAGAACTGTGTATTAATGTACACATGAAGAATTCTTGTTTCCTCTGAATTGCATTTATTCCATTCTTTTTTGCCTACTCACAGGAAGTCACTTTAGTTTATAATTTATTCTCTTAGACTGAAGTCAACACAACTAAACCCAAGTATTTTTTAATTGATATTTATCCTTCTCTTTCACATAGAAGATATCTGACAACATATATTGTTTCAAGTTTTTCTTTTACTTTTTTGTTCTCTTGACAAAATTGCTGTGATGGAACCTGTATTTTAATTTGATTAAAATTAAATGTGATTACACATTTACAATCACAATGTGATTGTATTTGGAGGTAGGAGTCTTTAGGAGGCCACTAGTCCTAAGGATAGGGACCTTATGAAGAATTTCCTGGCTTTTAGAGAACATATCTGAGAGAATTATTTTCTCTGCATATGAGGTTATAGCAGAAGATAGTCATTTGAAAACCAAGAAGAAAGCCTGCACAAGAATTCAACCATCTGGCACTCTTAAACTTTTCAGCCACTTGAACTATGAGAATGGAATTTCTGCTGTCTAGCCCATGTAGTCTACTGCAATTTTTTTTTTTTTTTTGTATTTTAGGGAAAGGTACACAGGGTGTTCAGGGTCTCACTACTAGATTGGACTTGTAGTGATCCGCCTGTTTATAGCCTCCCAAGCTCTGGGATTACAGGTGTACGCCACCATGCCCGGTCTTAATTGCCATCTCAGCATGCCCTGGGGGTGGGGCCGGCACGGTAAGCCTAGGGATAGAACCCCTGGTTCCTGTGCCTGCTTGGAGGCACTTCATTCCACTGAGCTATTTGGCTGGCCCTACCACATTTTGTTATAGCAGCTGGAACTAACATAAATACCTACTTGAGGGTTTGATCTTTATTTACCAAGTGTTTATTCATCCTGTGTGTATTCGTAAGTGTTGTATTAGTTTCCCATTTCTGCAACAAAATACTTGGGATCAACAATTTAAAAAGAAGAATGACTTACTTTGGTTTGTGCATATAGAGGTTTAGGTCCAGGATTGCTTAGTCTTATTGATTTGGATCTTTGGTGAGACAGAATATCATAGCAGGGAAGCAAATATGCTCACTTCTTGGCAACTGGGAAGCAGAGAAAGTGGAAGGAAGAGGTGGGCAATCTCACTGTGCCCCTCAGACACACCTCAAACCCACAGAAGGAAAGAAATCATGAGATCTGAATTGAATGAAATGGAAACTAAAAGTACAATACAGGTGATCAATGAAAAAAAATAATTGGCTATTTGAAAAGATAAGCAAGACTGATAAACCTTACCAGACTAACCACAAGAAAGAGAAGACCCAAATTAATATAGACACCAAGAAAGGCAATAGTGTCTTTAATACCACTGAAATTCAGAGGATTATTAGTAGCTATTTTGAAGACATATATTCTAATACAGTGAAAAATGTAGAAAAAGTTGATAAATTTCTAGATACATGTGACCTCCCAAACTCGACCAAGTGTATATAAAAAAATTTAATAGATAAATGACAAATAATAACATTAAAGCAGTGATTTAAAAATATCTCCTAAAAAAAGATATGACCTGTTGGATTTACCGTAGAATTTTACCAGATTGTTAAAAAAGAAAAAAAAAAAAAAGAAATAATACCAGTTCTCCTCAAACTATTCTGAAATATGGAGGGAAGGATCATTTCCAAGTTTATTCCACAAAGCCAACATACCTCTGATATCAACAAAGCAGAAAATAGACCAATATTCATGATGAACATAGATAAAAATCCTTAAAATTCTTGCAAACAGAATCAAGTAACACACAGCATGCTAAAGTTGGTCTCATCTCAGCAATGCAAGGATGTTTTAGTAACCTAAATCAATAAATGTAATACACCACACAGAGTCAAAAATAAAAACAGTATAACCTCTGAATGGATTCAGAAAAACCTGTAGCCAAAATTCAATACTATTTCATGTTAAAACCCAGAAGAAACTAGGTATAGAAGGCTCTTACTTCAACATAATTAAGGCAATCTATGACAAGCCCACATGCAACATCAGCAGAAAAACTGAATGTACTTCTTCCAAAAATCAGTCATGAGACAAGGATGTCCTCTTTCATCACTTCTGTACTTAAAATTTCAGCCAGACCAAGAGAAAAAAATAAAAGGGATTCAAATAGGATGACTTGATGGTGATATGACCTTTTACCTAGAAGATGAGAAGATGCCATCAGACTTTTGGATCTGATTTAAATTCGACAAAGCGGTAGGATACAAAATCAACATAAAAATCGGTAGCTTTTGTATACACCAATAATGAACTGCTGAAAAAGAAATCAAGAAAACGATCCTAATCACAATAGGTCTAGAAATACAGTACTTGTGAATAAACATGACCAAGGAGGTAAAAGACCTCACCAACAAAAATTATGAACAGCGACGAAAGAAATTGGAAAATACATTTTAAAAAATGAAGGATTCCCTATTTCAAAATATACTACAAGTCAAAATAACAAATATTTGTGGTATTGGCACAAAAATAGACATATAGACAAATAGAATAGAGGATCTAGAAAGAAATCTATGAAACTGCAACCATCTGATTATGGGCAAAGGCACAAAAAATATATGTTGGAAAAAGCTAGCTGTTTTACTATATGGTGCTGGAAAAACTGGATATTCATATATAGAAATTGCATCTTTGTCTCTCACGCTGCACAAAAATCAGTTCAAAATTGGTCAAAACTTAAATGTTAACACTTGAAAAGACAGGTATTTTTTTCACATATTTTCATGAAATAGTATTGAATTTTTTTTCAAGTTTTTGCCTGGCACGTTTTTCTTTTCTAATGTTTTAAAATTAATTTTATTGCAAAACAAAGAGCTATGAGACGGTTTC